AAGTAAGTTATTATTATTATTATTATTATTATTATTATTATTATTATTATTATTATTGTTATTGTTATTGTTATGGTTATTTTCTTTTCCTGTGCTCTCATCTAGTTACCTCGGTTCTCCTCCAGTATTTGGGGCCCTAGTCAGACTAAGGAAGCTGGCCCTTGGAGGTCCTTCTCTGAAGGAGCTCCGGAGAGGAGATCTGTCTGGAGTCACCCAGCTGGAGGAGTTAACTGTTCATGCAAACAACCTGACCAGGTTTGCACGGGTTTTGGTAGTGGTGTTAAGTTACTGTCTTTATTAGTGGTGGTAGCTTCAAATTAGTGTCCTTTATTCTAACTGCCTTGAGTCTTTTTTGTTTATGGTTAACTGTAGTGAGGCTATGAATACATTTTTATAGGTGGCTATAGATGGCTAAAAGTAAGTTACTTAGTAGGTTAATGAATCAACACGCTTTATGAATTTTCTTTGCTATTGCAAAATGTAACCGTTTCCATCTCAACTTCAGAAATGTGTGTCAAAATAATGAAGAATAACTAAGAGACATCTTTAAAGACTCATATTTATGGCATAACTCTTTTATATATAATTTCGGTTATATATAAAAGTTAATTTTTTTAAAAAGTTCTTTAAAATGTGTTGGTTATGGTCTATTTTTATAGATTCTTTATACTTATTTGGGCTAACAAACCAACACTTCTCTATGTGCTTTTACTAAATATACAAATCAATATCTGATGCTTTTATTATTGTGTATACTGTCTTCCTTTTCACATATCCTCAACTTTTAGCTTCTGTATCTTGCTTCTGCAGCTATGACGCTGGTACATTAGCACACATTTGGCCGCTAGGTCATGTCACCTTGAGTCTCCATGGTCCTTTTCTAACAAATGTGACCTTGGCTGGGTCTATGATTGATGATGTGTCATATCCTGAGACACCCATCATTCTGAAAGACATCAATTTGAATGGAGTTCAGTCTGTTCAGCCCTTTAGTAAGGCAGCCAAAAGGAGGATCAGGTATGGACATCACTTCTACTTGGGTAAAACTAATATTCTAACAAACTGGGAAACAAACAAACCTATTCTTCCTCTGTGTTGTAACTCTTCAGGTATTTGACCCTACATAATGTTTCTGTGTCTGACGAGGCTATTGTTGACTTCCTGGTGGTATTAGATGGAGTTCCACTGACCAAACTTACCATAGAAGATGTCACACTGATGGGCGAAGGCTGGTAGGAAAGAAGCACATTATCTTTTTGGCATATGTCCCAGTTAGCAACTTTGGTTCAAAAGAAACGTTTGTGTATTATACAGGAAATTGAAAACAACAAACTTGTCTTTTTTTGGTTGGGGTTAGGTGGGGGAAAGCTAGCCAAACTGATCACA